CAGCTGCACGTTTGCTATGCTAGAATATACCAGGCCACTCAGAAAGTTTTGCAAAAAAAGTTTTAATGTATAAGACACTGGCAACTTGTAATATATTTTGAAAACTTCGATTATTTAAAAGTAAAAATACCACTGTTCGATTTTCAAATTTCCCTCCGCATTTTTTCAAGAGACAATTAAATTTTTCTTGTCTCATTTAAAAATGGATCTGCATCGAGAACATTTTCGTGCTATGTTTTTTTTAATAAATGTGGCTTAAAACCTGCTGAGTCATTTGATCGATTACGAACTGCTTTTATGGATGAAGGACCTTCAAAAGCGAGTTCAAACGCGGTCGTCTTACTTTGGGGGATGAACAAAGGAGTGGTCGTCCTACGACGGCTGTCACCGAAGAAAGTGTGCTGGCAGTAAAAACTTTAATTCAAGAAAATAGACGAATTACGTACCTACGACCAGATTCAGCATACTCTGCAGATTGGTTCAGGAAGTGTTTACAATATTTTGCACGAGCACTTTTGCGTAACAAGGATAGTTTCCCGCTGGGTACCGCACAACCTCACCGAAGCTCAGAAGCAGGCCCGTGTGGATTGGTGCAGTGATATTATACAAAAATTTGATGCAGGCTCGTCCCGGCGCGTTTATGATATTGTGACAGGCGACGAATCCTGGATTTATCAATACGATCCAGAAACAAAGCGCCAATCTACAGTTTGGCTGTTTCAAAATGAACCAACACCTACGAAAGTGAAGCGATCGAGGAGCGCAGGGAAAATTTTGATCGCTAGTTTCTTCACTTTGACGGGGTACCTTATTTCAATTCCACTTCGAGACCAAAGCAGCATCAACGCCGAATGGTATAGCACAAAATTCCTGCCAGAAGTTTTTTCTGCAATAAGCAACAAGCGACCTAACACCGGGCTCCGCGGGGTCCTTCTTCACCACGACAACGCGCCCACGCTCTCTGCGATCAAAATGAAGGACTTTGAGGAGCTCTAGCCAGAGTGGATAGAACCTGGGGACGTAGCGATTAATTAAAAGATACTAAATTGTCAACGTTATTTATTTGATTCAGGCGAATATAATTATTTTTATCTATGTATAATTATTTACCATCGACAGCTTTCAACTTCATATCGCTTTCATCAATTTGTTTGTTTTTGTTGAGCAAACGATGGTTGGATCTGGAATGGAATCTGAAAATTCTCACAAGACTCATTAATTTTTTTATAGAATAACAATACAGGGCCACTTAAATATGCCGACAACACAATTCTTTTTGTATCATCGTTGAAATTATTGATGGCGGCGATGATATTAAACTGACGAAAGAAATCGGTTACATCACCTTTTCCGTCGAATGTGGTCCTGGTCTCCATCTTTATAAAAACTACTTCTTTCTTGATTTAAAAATATTCTTCACTCGCGGTACTTGAAATTACGCGGCGCGTCCACCATGAGGAGCCCTAGCCAGAGTGGATAGAACCTGGGGACGTAGCGATTAATTAAAAGATACTAAATTGTCAACGTTATTTATTTGATTCAGGCGAATATAATTATTTTTATCTAACTACGAGAGGGTTGGTTGGTGCCTGAAGATCTTCTCTTGTATGGAACCTTCTATCAAAAGACAGACGATTCCTTATTTCAAATCTTAAAATCATGACATTAACTTTTTAATATAACTGCCAACCGTAGGCATTGCAAAAGCAAAGAGTTTACCTAAACAAGGAGGCTGCAACGTCACGGACGTTACACCTGGACTCCACACCAGTCAGAGTCTTGGGACACCTTCCTTACAGTCCTGATGTGGCTGCGTGTGAATTCTTTTTATTCCTTAAAATAAAATATCAGCTCAAAGGGATACAGTTTTCATCGCCGGAACAAGTGCTAGCAGCGTTTGAGAAGGCCGTAGAAGAGGTGTCTGCGGAGGACCGGAAAAAATGATTTGAAAATTGGTTCAGATGCATAAAACTTTGTATAGAGGCTGGTGGAGAGTTCTTTGAAATTAAAAAGAATATTTTTATCATAGAAGTTACTTTTTAAATTTCTCAGAACATTCTGAATATCCCACGTACGTATTTGCATACTCAGTAGTAATTGTTACTTATTATTCTTCTTATCATTTAAAGATGTACTAAGTAGGTGGTAGGAAAAAATATTTGACGATTCAAGAGCTTTCCATAAGTAAATTTAAAGAAAGTATAATTTCATTTCATTAACTTTAATAAAATAATAATAATAAGTATTATCACGATTATTCCACACGACCAACATTCTTGAAATATAGGAAGGACTGTACGCCAGTGCCGCGCCGCCTGCTGCCGCCGCAGCACTTGCAGCCTGCCTCTGAATCAATACCGACAGCAACTGCAGGCTGCAGCCGAGAACGGAATAGCTACTTAACTTAATTTAACTAATTCTCTATTAATATTTTCAATACGGAAAATAATGAGAAAGAATTTTCGCTCGAATTGGAATGTTTGGACACGTACTTAACCTTTACCTTCACACAAGATCACAGTGGAACAACACTAATATGTTTATCCATGTAAAATTTAAGCTTTCTAGTACTAAAATTCCACGAGCATCTCTTTAAGTAACAGACCATCAATTTATTCGTCGGTTATTTAACATATTTTAAACAACCATTTACATCAAAATCATCTTAGAATATTATTTAAAATTAACTTCAGAAAATTCTATTCTGCGTCTTAGCTTTCAGCTTGTATTTCAATACTATGATTATCTTTATAGCGCTGGTTTGTTGGGCAAAATTTCTATAATAGGTAGGTACTTGAAGATGTTAGGACAAGAACATAAATTTTACCTTGATCAATCATATCATATTAAAATACGTTCCTAAATATTCATTAGGTAGGCAGACCCAAGTCATCTTATCACTCTACACTCCATTGCGTAGTAATACGATGACTTATATTATTTTACGGCCAGTTTGAATAATAATCAACCTCCAGTAAAAGATAGGATAAATCTGACCTCGTTACTTAGCAACAGTTGTTTTTGTAGTCTTGATAATAAAACAGGTAGAAACCAATATAAAGGATCGAAATATGGGCCTTGTAGATACCACAGTGTTCTTAGGAATCACACTAGATTCTTAACTGCAATGGGACCCACATATTTATAAGTTGTCGAAGAGACTTTGTTCTGCAGCATATGCCGTAATAAAAAACCATAAACCTTTTTTATCTTTAGACAAATTAATATTTTCGTCGATGCGAGTTCCAGGCCAACCCGGAAGTAGTAAATGGGAATTCAGATCTATCAGACATGCATGGCACCGACTCCAAATATTAATTTGTCTAAAGATAAAAAAGGTTCATAATTTTTTACTTTTCAGCGGTTTAAGTTTTAATTTTATAATTTTGTGTGACTATATTTTTTGTATTATACAACTCGTCATCAAAATCTGTGAGTGAACATTCGCCCCGATGTTCCCACCCTTAGGGTAGGATTTTTGTTTCTAAATTCATATGGGACCAATTTTGGGGTATACCCTTTCCAATAGAAAAAGAATTTAATCAAAATTGGACTACTCTGTACAAGGATATGCGTGATCATACATTAAAAAAAATATACGTGTGAATTCAGAACCTCTTCCGTGTCTTTCGTCGGTTAAATGGTGAAATACATACACTTAATACTAGAAGTAAAAATTCTTTAACTTTACGTGCTACTAGGCTCCACACAATTAATAATTCCTTCAGAGGTCTCTGTGTTCACTTTTACAATAAAATTCCAGGCAATATTCAAGATTTAAGCCTGACTAAATTTAAATCGACCATTAAAAAATCACTTGTTATGAAAGCTTATTACAAAGTTTCTGATTATAAGATTACGGACAAAAATGCTTGGGTTTCAACTGTTCCACCATACCATACCAACGCGTATTTCTATATGATATATAATGCGAATCATGGATTGACGATACTATAATTAAATTTCAAAGCTGTATTTAAAGTTAATTAAGTAAAGATGAATATTAAGAATATTTGAATAACAAAACGGCGTAGTCGTAGTTTCTTCATAGATTTTGTAATTGTTTGGAGTGTCCTACAGATAAATGACCTTAATTTTAAGTACCTAAATATGTTAAAGTTAGTATAGGTGGTTATGGGTAGTCATGCTTTCTTAAAAGTCTCTCGTCGTTACGTTCCCTAAAATATGTTTGAGCGGAGAGATGGCTGGTTTCATGCGTCATACTCGTGAACGGGTGCTGCCAGCGGAGATGAATCTACCCTAACTACTTTAATATTGAAGATGTTAATGTACCTACCTACTTTCATTTATACTGTATGACACAGCAATTAAAATGCAGGTAAACAATTAATGTATATTTCACATTATGTATTGAAAGAATGAACACATGAATAGTCTCTGAAGTCGTTTTTTCTACGTGACTACTCTGTAAATAATAAAACAGGGAGAAAAATCAGCCCTTGCTGAGTTTCTTGCCGGTTCTTCTCAGTACAAGGTCTCTCGTCGTAGATTTACGAACCAATAGCATAGGATCTAGACATTCATGAGTGTTTGTAACAGCCTAAACTGAATAAACGGTTTTGATTATGATAATGATTAAAAAAACTTACTTATAGTCTGAGACCTGATATTTATCTATGATGTCAGGGGGCTATAATTATATTTTGTAAGCTGCCAGATCAACCTTAAACTACCCTAAGATTATTTAAAGTGCCACTGTGGGAAAGTACCTTTTTAATACAGTTTCAATAAAGTTATCTTATAAATAATTTCAAGGAAACCTTTTACAATAATTAAATAATTTCTTTGAATGTAATTATTAAAATGATTACAGAAAATAAGTTGGGTTGTGTTATTTGCTTTCAAAAGTGTCTGGCAATAAAAACTGCTTACAGAATGTGTCTGCCAGTATTAATTTCAAATTGTTTACAATATTCTCTACAACATACGTAGGAATCAGTCCTCAGACTGTAAACAAAGTAAGTAAAAATAGTACGTGCCGGTGTCACGTATGTATACGTTCATTTACACACTAATACTACTCAATTATCCATATTTTGTCGATGAGGGCTGGCTGACTTTGGATTTTGTACTATAATCGATAGCGCAGTGATAAGCGTATTTGGTCTGCGATCGTAGAAGATAAGTTTGATGTTAACATCGTATGACGTCATAAGATGTGTGACTAAAAAAATATTCTCCTCCAATTCCCTCCGATCCTATTCTTCAGAAACACATTAGGCCGTTGGTTCCAGCTGCATCTACCAGTCGTTAACACCCACCAATCGACACTGTGACTGAATAGTGGGTCAGGGCCAATTCGCATCGGTAATATTGCTCTGTACATGATCCAGCTTTGGTTACTTTGTTTGTGGGCAAATTACTTTGTGGTATTTGAACTGGATGAAAGACTCTTCTTACCCAGACCTTTATTGGTTGATGGTATAATGACGATTGCACTGAAGAGCGGTGAAAGTGAATTGGTGAAATATCCATATAGGAATTTTCATTTTCTATGATGGAGACTACATATTTTATTTTTATGTATGTGTCACTGCTCTACATGAGTGACCCGAGTGCTGTCTACGGATCTGCCCTCCGTTGTCTCGCCTGAACGGAAATCTATGGCATGAAGATAAATGGGCTTTAAACAAATCATTCGTTCAGCCTATTGTGATGTCAACAATAGATCCACTGCGGAACACGGAACAATCAGTTTCTATTTATGGTGGATTAGCTCAATATATTTTAAGAAATCAAATATCGATTATAAACGACTTATGAATTCTACGGTACTTTCTATATTTCGTATTTGTGAATTCTTCTTGAGGATTTATTATAATTTATAAAAGGTCTTTTTCTTTTATTATGGCATGACGGATATAAAAGGTCGTTAACAGATCTGTATTTAGTTATACTCTGGTTTTCAAAGATTCTCGTTGATTGATAAATTACCAAGAAAAATGGCGCTAAAAACGCTCCTGGAGTTAAAGTTAAGCATAAATCTATTATACAATTCATATAAATTGTTCCATATCGATTCACTTAGGTGCTAATACTCTTTTTAAAAAACTTCAAAACTGTAGCTCAAGTCCTCTGTAGATGTTCGTAAAGGTTGTTATTAATTTTTTTGCAGATTAGTTTTATTTATGTTTGTTTTTCAAGATAAATGGAACACGTATAATTGGGAAAAAGATCTGAAGTACTGAAAATACATAGATATTCGAACATCTCAGTTACAAACGTCATACATTTATTTAAGATTAGTGGCCCGCCCTCGGTATCTTCGGTGTAGAGCCGTAGTGTAGACTTTAGTTTTTGTAAACAGACTTGTGCTTCAACCTTTAAACCTTCCATGAAAACATAAATATAAACAAAATCACGCTACGACCAGTAGAAGCGGAGCATCGATGAAAGTTGTAGCAAAAATGGGTAAAAATATTTCGTTTGTGAGCATCCGTTGCCTGCACTGCATAAACGGTTAAAGTAACAAAAAAATCGTTTATATAAATATTTCAAAAAAACCTTACAAATCGAAAATGGAGCTAAAAAGGTAAAAAAATATAATAATCGGAATAGATTTTCATTTTAAACCAATACGTGTTTTAATGGAATGCAGCGTAGAAAATGCTAGAGAAAATTCGACACGGACAATTAGGGCCATAATGGTTAGTGCATCCGCCCGGATAGCGGAGGGTGCGGGTTCGAGTCCCATCTGCTGCCTGGTCGGCGTGGATTTTTTTCTAGTAAAATTTTCATTAGATTTAAGCACAAAAAGTCGTACAACAACCAAAATTAAAAAAAAAAGTTGTTTAACAACAACTTTTAAAATACCTAGTATTAGAAAATGTTGAAGGAAAATTATTTAAATTTTATAAAACCTAATGATGATAATCTTAATTTCTTCTTAAATTATCATCATCATTTCTAGTTTAGTTTTACTTGTTCGATCCCTTTGTCATTCAAGTAACTTAGTATCTCAACAATGAATTGTGGATTTAAAATAAAAGATTGACATAACTGATAATAAAGTTTATTTTGAAACTTAATAATGGCCATTATTTTATTGATACACAAAACAGAATACAAATCATAGTAGTAGAAGAATGAGTGTGCAAATGACGAGTTATAGTCACGGCAGCTCTTTATTATTTTTTTTATTGGTAAAATTATTAACGTGTTTTTTTCTCAATTTTAACTATCTGAACTCCTTTATATTTTTTTTATATTATAGTGGAAACTTTATTGGAGTATGTTTTGTTAATTAGATCTAGGTATAAGTATTAATTTATTATTTGTTTCCCAAATAAAGATAAAATAAAATAAAATACCTATCAAAATTTTCCAGTTGGGTTTTAACCGTATAATTTTATAGTTTTGTGGTAATATATCTTGCTGTTGTTCGTACAAGGATGTAGTATTTCTCTTAAGAAGATATTTGAGTACGTTGCAATTCCACTAGATGGCGCAAATGCAAAAAGCTTAATTTCACTTCAACCCGATTGATCAAGCTAAAATCTCGCACTCGCAACACTCTTCTTATATTTTGATAGTACATGTTAGGCACTGATTACAATCTCATCATATCCATAAGATTCCGTCCTCTTCCCCTTGCATGTTTGCGCTCAAAATATTCGTCAAGTGGTGATTTCTCTTGATTAGCAAACGTCGATCCGCGTATTAAAAGGCTGTTATCAAGTTGTTCCGTAGAATCTGCTTCTAAATCATAATATATTGTCAGTATGACTCCCTCGTCGTTAGGATGACCTAAACCCTCATATATGTAGTCGCGGAGATTCTTTGACAAGTATCTGCCAAGGTCCCCCTTTTTACAGAAACCATTATATCTGAATTGGTCAATTTCGAATCCTGGCATCGATTCAAGATCACTTTTCAAACTGCGCAAATCGCCCACTTTTACGCCCAAGTTCTTTATAGACTGGCCTGAGGACTGCATAATCTGTAATATTAAGAAAAAGTTACAAACATTTCGCGTATCTACATAGATTCACGTCATGTCTCTCGCTGAATTAACGAAGCATTAAAGTAGGTGATGGATAATTCATTCATTTGCCCGATAACCTTTACCATTTGGACAAAAAGAAATTAAAAGAATACCTCAGGTACTAATACCTTAGCCTAAGGGGCAATTGTAGCTACTTAAAAAATTATATCAAACTTGTGACTCGAATATTTTCATACTATTAACACACAACTTAGCATTTTTTTTTTATTTTTTTATGTTAGTTATTACTAACGTTACTAATAATATACTTCAATGATTGGAATGAGAGTTCAATTTGCTTTATAATTACTTAAAGTACCATCAGGACTAAATGTGTCTTTTTCCATTTACATTAGTGTTTGGACATACGGTTCAATAACTTTGGATAAACATGTAATACTAGTGGAAACTGATATTATTAGGCACTACCACAATATAATCAATTAGTTTCATATATAATTTTAAAACGCTCCTTCAGCTGCACATAAAAATCTATCGTCTCCAACGACCTCTTATAGCGTGTCAAATTATAGCCAGTCAAGCTATCGTCTAGCGTATATAAACACGCAGCCCGATATTTAATTACGGCAGAACTAATCAAAACTTCGATTTTAGTGTATTTAGTACCAAAGCCGCCCAATGACTCGTCGCGTTGGTTTGGAAGAAGCATTACATTACTTCATTTTTGACACCCATCGTTTATAGAATAGCTTAGTTGAAGACCAATACGATGACGTGCCTAGTGATGACTATGTATGTGGAATCATAAAATGGCAGATTTCCCGCGGGGGTAAATGTACGACTTGGAAATGTTTTGTACTTTCTTCGATGGATAGGATATTGTGATGATCCCAGGGGAAATAAATAGTTTCAATTTTAGGGTAATACTTCTTTAGTGATAAGCTGATTCTAAGCAGTACTGTGTGAAGGTAATTTTATGTTTGACATAACCGTTCGATATTCGATCAATATTTTTAATGATGGTTGAAAAAGCAAAATGCAGAGGATCTGTAGACGGAGTCTGAAATGTTTTTTTTATCAGGAATAAATAGATAATCAGGAGCTTGGTGACACAATGGATGCTGAGTGATCCAGAGACAAGCGAATACAAGTGATCGAAATAAATAAATGACTTAATAACGTAATTAATAAAACTTTTAACCGTACCTACTAGTCCATACTAATATTATAAAGTGGTAAAGTTTGTGAAGTTGTTGGGTAATCTCAGGATCTACTGGATCGATTTTGAAATAAACCAATAGGAAACATGCGTGAACTGCTGGACTTTCTCGAGGAGCTGAGATGCCAGGACTAATGTCATTCCTTAGAGTAGCATAGGGCACTTGGTGTCTAGTTGCGAAAACAGCCCGCCGTACTGCTTCTACTAATTACCAATAGGAAGCCACGTTAATTGTGAGTATCGATGGTTATATATGTGACCAAAAACTATAGTCTACACCTAAGCGATGCGAAGGTAGGGCACTACTTGTATTATAAATGTAATTAATATCCTTAATTATTATGAAAGTAAGTCACTAAGTATTTGATTTGCGTTACGTTCAACAGCACTGTTAAATTTTAGTTGAAAAAAATTATCCTGGAAAACAACTATGAAATGTGGTGTTACACCAACCAACTCTCACCAGTTCTACAAATGTTTAAGGATATTCATAGCCATAGAAGTATTATCCCAAAAACTACCTACACAGTCAATGTTTTTAATCATAATATGAAATCAGTAACGATTAGTAATAATAATAATTAATACTATTAGTGCATACCTGGATATTAAGAAGTGCAAGCAAGAAGACGAGGAGATTCGTGCTATTCATTTTTGGATAATTTCACTGTAGGATCTCTGTGCGTTGACTGTGGAAGGACCGCCGAAACTCTTATATTTGTACTTGGGCATGACAACGTTAACTAATTCCTGTGTGTGTCAGGCTTCCGAACGTTTTGTGGCTTCAGTGTTTTGTGAGTTTTTACAATCAGCTGAACATTTGCATCACAGTATCATCAAAACGTCATAACTATATTATGCTGAAAGTCACCGCGAATTCACATCTGGTAGCGTACCTAACACAGTGCTGATTGTGAATATTGTGCAGTTCTGTAACGAGCGTATACAATTCAGTTTATTTGTATCATTGTAAACTGGTTGATGGCCGATGGCACTTAAATAAGGCTTACAGACGTTTTCAAAGATAAAGTTATTAAGTTTCGAATGACAAGATAAATTTTATTTTTTTGTTAGATATAAACTATTTTGTACGTTACAGTGTCGACAATCAATTAAACTCTACCGGTATGTCTACGATAGTCACATGCCAACAAAGTTCCTACTTCAATTTTATACTTACCTCCGTGGTATAGAAGAAGATTTAATTTACTGCCACATAAAATGATAAGGTTTTTTCAGACTGTCTGGTTTGCTTACGAATAATATTATGTTCATTTAACTTAATAACACTATCTCTTAGCTATCACACAGTAACTAAATATATCATTTTAGCACCTGAAATCCTAAATCCCTTCCTACATCCCTCTAGGAACAATAAACACATAATAACGCCATCGTAGCACACGTGCACTAATCTAATACACGCTTTATAAATTAAGAGGTTTTCATTTTTTTCAACATTATAAAATTTTCATTAAAACATATCCTAGGCAGCATCCTAAGGATTCATCGTTTCTTCTTCATTCTGACAACATTCAAGTAAAGATGAATATTTACTCAAATTCTTAGATTTTCAGCTAATAAGGCAAAATCTTCACAAGGGTAGGTACTATGTATGTATTGAATAAAGATCAAAGATTTAACTGACTCCATTTCGACACGCTTTAAATACGTAGGTAGTTCAAAAGGAGATTGTACAATAGGGCATGAGGACAAAATGTGGTAAAAGAGAACATGACCTTGCCAATTGACAACGCAACGCTAATTATTAAAAATAATTTATAAAATAACGGATGGTTACACCTTTTACTGCAATTATTATTTTATATTATGTAAAGGACAAGCCCGAAGCGAAGTATTTGTAATATTAGACTAAAAATAAAACCAAAGAACATGACAATGTGATTGATTTTAAAACACATGTTCATTTAAACTGGTTTTAATAATAATTATATATTTTTAGAATACATGAATGGCATTTGGATGGCATACAAAAACTGCAATGCATAATGTTAAATAAAACCTGCTCAAACCTTAATTTGATAAATAAAATTGCCTTCATTAGTATAATTCGGTGAATCAAAGAATAGAATTGAAAACGGTCGCCATTTTAAATCCTATTCCTTGATTGGCTAAGCTATAAGTACCCTAACTTACACGAATAGAGACAATTTCTCTAACATATAAATGGTAGGTATAGTACCCAACTATTATATTACGTCACACCCTTGTGGCTGATCAAACATCAAAAGTGAAACACGTGCCTTCGCGTACGTACTCCCAGACCAGAAAGGACCGTTTCCAATTATCGGCCAATTATCCACAAGTTGGATAACTCGATAGTTCAGCGTTGTTTGCTGTGTGACACACGGGGTGATGTCACCCGCCATCAAAGTGAACCACCGCCGCAAGCTTTTAATTATCTGTCGGGAACTGACATAAATGTGATACTGTTAGTATGGAGATTTAGAAATTTAGAAAACGCATCAGACGATTTGTTTTCAATAACTTTAAATGCCATAATATGAATTCAAAACGTACTTATACTAGTTCTATAAAATTCGAAAACAATAAAACCGATTAATACAGAAATACATAATTACATATATGTATTTCTAAGAATTTCATGAACGTTGCTTGATTTCTCAGAAAATGTCTAACGACTTTTATTATACGAACAACTAACATCCAGTATCCTTAATAATATAATAATATTTTAGTATTTAGTCAAATTAGGAAAGATAGAGAAGTTATTTTTTCTATTCCACGGTTAAACTTTTACGATAAATCTTAATTCCGAAACTTAGATCAATCGAATGCGTAAACCATGTCACACAACGAATAAATAGCTAGAAT